GTCGGACAGTTCGTTTACGGCAGCTGTTGAAACCAGTTCACCTCAGTAGTGCGTTGCGAAAAAAACAATGGAAAAAAATATTGAACAAAGAGTTTGCATCAAATTTTGTTTTTCGAACGAAATTTCGTGTGCAGAATCGTTGCGAATGCTACAAAAGGCTTATGGGGAATCAGTTTTATCGAAAACTCAAGTTTATGAGTGGTACAAAGCCTTTCAGGACTGTCGTACGACCGTCGAAGACATGCCGCGTTCTGGACGACCTTCGACCTCTACCACCGACGAAAACATTGAAAAGGCAAAGGAAATCGTGTTCAAAAATCCTCATGTGAGTGTTAGAGAGATAGCACGAGAGCTAGGCATCGGTCGTGAGATGGCTCGTTTGATTTTGGTGGACAATTTGTGTATGCGACGTGTCAACGCCCGGCTTGTTCCGATTCACCTCAATTTGTTCAACATTATCAACGATTTTAAGGCCAAACATTCAATAAATACCATCGAACAGCCACCGTATTCACCTGATCTTGCACCGTGTGACTTTTTCCTGTTTCCCAACCTCAAATTACCACTCAGAGGAACGCGTTTTGAATCCATAGAAGACGTAAAACAGAATTCGCAGAGGGAACTCAAAGCCATACCGGAAAGCGCCTATAAAAATGTTTTGATGATTGGAAGAAACGTTGGCATTTGTGTATCGCTTCTAATGGAGCATATTTTGAAGGAGATAAAATAAATATTGATGAAGATTAAGAATTTTGCGTTTTATTTAAAATTTTCCGGAAACTTTTCGGTCACAATGTAGATGTTTAACACTTACCATAAAACCACGATAAATCTTCAAGTTTTCCTGCATTAACAATGCAACGTAATACAGGAACTCAATCCATAAAAAACTGATCTAAGTTCATAAAAATTTAAGTAAAAATTCTGCGTTTTCATTTGATTTCAATCAAATGATTCGTTCAATTTGATGTGTTGTGGTATCTTGAATTAGTGCTATTGCGCACTTTTACAGTTTTGTGGCTGGGGGCTTCTCCCTGCCCCGCACTAGGCTTTAACTGTGCAGAAATTCGTATCGTTTATTTATCTTTTAATTGATGATAGACTGTAGGTCCGCATATCTTCCTGTGGGTCCTGAGGTGGACTTGAGGTTTGTTAGGGCGGGGTTGGGCAGCGTAACAACTTTTGTGAATAATTTTAAGCCTCTGTCCCTGATATATATTTTCACTGAGTCGATCCCTAGATCTCTGTGTATGTGTGTTGTTCTAATATACTATAAAATGTTAAATACTCTTCTTATAGCCAGCTTTTGTGCTATCTGTAATTGCTTTATGGGAGTATTTGAGGCATTGCTATATATAACACATCCTTACAGTAGTGCTAGCCTAATTATTTGAGTATATACTAACTTTCTGTCTAGAGCATCTGATGTGTAATTGCCCGGCTCTTTCGAGAACTCGATAAAAATACTTGGGAGCTTTCAGTTTTGCAGCACTGGAGTACATACCTGAGGTTTCTGTTGGCATCTTAATAAATTTTGCTAATGAAACGCGCATCTTAAGTGATGCTTACAATCGCTAAAACAAGACTCTGATCTGGTATCGCAATGGACCTTAGTGGTCTACGCGTGGCCTTTGTGGCCTGCCAGCATAATCTAATCTAATCTAACTTTCTGTTTTTGAGGTTAAAGTGATTATTATTAAACAGCGGCTTTAGAAAATGTGGAGTTTTAGAGCAGCTATTCTGTTTGCATTTCTTACGTTTATACCAATTGATCCGTTTGTCAAAAGTGATCCCCAGGTATTTTATGCTTTCCTTCAACCGTATCTCCGTGTCACCGACTCTCACTCTTGGAGGATGCTGCCTTCTCTTTCGTGTTATGAATATAGCCTTGGTTTTGTCATTGTTAATTTAAATCTTCCATTCCTGGAAGTATTCCACCCTAAGGTCTATATTTCCCTGTAAGGTGTTGCTTACACATGTGGCACTCCGGTGTAAAGCGCCATTGTGCAATTTACTAAATTAAATTGATTTTTTTGTTAGCAAAGTTTTCCTGTCAAAGTAAAATGAAGTAAAATTTTCCAATTTAAAGATGTCGGCTTTGAAATTCAAAAAATTTTGATATCCCAAATAATTAAATATTTTTTTGTTCAAAAATTTTCTCTTTCTGGTTGCACACAATATTCAAAATTTATTAGTTTAAGGAAACGCAAAAGAATCCCAATTATTTAAATTTATGGTTACATTTGATAAATATATGTACTTATATATACACATATATAAATTGGTACTTGCGTTATTAATTGGATGATATTGGAATGAGGCAAGAAAGTATATTTATGTTTTCATGTTTAAATAGAACTTTTATTTTTTTTTTTTATTATAGACGCATATACGAAACACGTTCCCAACAATTCCTGCTTTACAGCTTAAAATCTGAATGGTGATCTATATGGTAAGTATTATATCAATCAGGGCTACGAGCCGGATTTTTTTTCATTCCGGTTTCCGTTCCGCATTAAAAGGAAAAAATATTGGTTGGGTTCTGGTTTTCGTTCCTATAAAAATATTTGTTTTTTAATATTTTCGGTTTAGTGTCGATTTGATGTCCTGATATCAAAAGATCAAATCAAACTATTGAATATGTGTAGTAACTTCTTTATTGTAATTTGCATTATACTATTATTTAATATCTAGAAGATGTTTGAAAAAGTAAAAACTCTTCAAAAGGTTGACTATAAAACAATTGGTAGGTGAATTCAGAGATCCTCGAACTCCCGAGCCTAATCATTTAAAATTCTTAGCCCTGAAAATATTTGTCATACATATATTTCAAATCCGTGCTTCTCAACAATAATTTAGAAAAAGAAATATTTTCAACTGAATCAAAATTGAGAGTTTCGTATTTTTAAATTTTTAATTATTTAAAAAGTTTAATTAATTTAGTTAGTTGATTATAACTAATTCATGTTATTATTTGTCACATATTTATGTCATATATTGTCTAACGTTTTCTTTATTTGCAGTTTGTATATAATCTGGAATTACAACTAAACTATACATAACTAGTACAGACGAATAAAAAAATAATGTATTTTATTCATCAGTTTTCAAAATCCAATTACTTATTTTAAAAGATATATAAAAAATCGTGATGATCATTGTTCAGGAATCTCATTTTAAATTCAACTGGATTTGGCAATAATAACCGGAATTGACAAAAAACTCTATTGATGCGTTACCGAAATAGGTTTAAACTGTGTTATATTATATTCATTTGATGTCACTAGGTAAAATTTAGTTTTCTTCCATTATAAATATGGTTTTCAACTAATCATTTCCTGTTTTTACATCATTTGAACAGTGATGAGTCATTGCTTTACAACTCCCGGATTTGATACATTAAAAAACCAACCATTCTTATCAACTGGATTAGAATTAATTTAGATTTCAAAGATCGATTGTACTAATAACTTGACTGTGATTTGAAGTGAACTGCACTGTTAAATTGATCACATGAGCACATATTGAGATGTGAAATCATCGTGATTTTCAACTTAACAGTTTTTACAGGACTTAACTCTGTCTGTTTCCAAAGTTTTCAAGTAAGAGCCGGCTATTCTTTTTATTTAATACTACCTTACATAATCTTTGTATCATCTTTAAGTTAACTATTAGAAAACTTTTATTTACACCATAAACTTCCCCAGGACTTTGAAATGGGATGGAGAGAAGGCTTTAGAAATAAATTTTTGCCTGTAAAACAAAGGAAATCAGTTTGAATTTTGACCTCCTTTGGTGTTACACCTATTCTTCTCTATGAATATTGAAAAGTGTATTTGAAATAATTTATTAATCTCCAAAATGTACTTAATGGCCACTGGTTTGTCGTTGGGATCACTGATATAGCTGCCAATATTTTTAATATTATGCAGCATTTAAAATAAATTTTTTAAGAAACATTATCGGTGGCGAATCTATAGCAGTTTCTGGAACAGTAAGATGCGTGTTATTAGAATCTTTTATCAATAATTTAAACAAATTTATTATTCAAATTATTGCCATTAATGAGTACAAAAACTTCAGCTACTTTTATTTTCAGCTGCAGTACAATTCTGGGGTCTGTGATTCGTTAAAATTGATCCTTATTGGAGATACTGGGAGACGACTACTCTAGTTATTAAATTAATAATAATAACTATTAATGTTAAATTAAAGTGACTCAACTGAAATTAATTTGAATTAATTAAATATATATTCTTCAAATATTTAAAATAAAGTATTAAAAATATAAACTAAAAGAAAATGTGAGGTTTTTATTTTCCTAAATATTTATACTAAAGATTACAAATTTATGTGGTTAAAACTGAGCATATATTACTTTCTAAAATTAAAGTTATTGTCTATGTACTGCAAAATGTTTAAATTATTTATTTTTAATAAATAATAATCATGTTCAAATAATCATGTTTTCATATTATTTTCTCTAAACCAAAGTTTTAATGGCGATCACTTGCTTATATTTATTGAAACACTTAATTGTCACTCAAAACACGTGTTTTTAAAAATACCTTAGTTTCAATAACTAAAGTAGTATAATTAATACTCCTATAATATTATTGACTGAGTATAATTTACATAAAAATATTTGTTAAATAATTTTTTGTTTAATGTAATTAATCACATAAACTGATATATAATTTAATGTAATTGATAAGATCGTTTGATATATCTTTAGGTTTATTTGATATGTTAGATTCAAAATAGAATAAAGCATCTAATATTTACACAATGGATTAGATTATTATATATCTGACTGAACTTTTGTATTGAAGAATTATTAAATCAATTTATTAATCATCTTCAATTCTAATTTAAAAATTAAAACCTTAAATAAATAACATTTTTGTATATTAAATGATAAATTGTTAGAAATATAATAATAGACTATATAATTCAATTTGTGTATATAATTATATTTGTGTATCAAAAAGATCCATTTAGTTAATACTGAATAAATATACTGAATAATTATACAATTAATAGAGAGCTTCTTAAGAAAACCTTAATCATTAAGGTATGTTCACATGATTTGAAAGGCTATATAGGGAAATATGGGGTATAAAAGTATGTACCACGAATTCTTCTGGAAACGATTAAGCTTCTCAGCTACAGTCACTTTCCACCAAACATATGTCGCCATAAAAAATATGTTAATATAGTAGTAGAACCCATGTTCAAGTAAATAAATAAATAAAAATTTTCTGGGAAAGTTTTGAAATACATTTGACATATGTATATCATTCCTTGATTTTGGCTGACGCAAGCATTGCCATTAATGTTTCAGGTTTCATTGGTCGTTAAAATTCTACTTTCAAGAAACGCACGTGGTTTCTTGCGTTTGAAGCAGATAATGAAGTATCGAATGAAACAACTGCAATTTTTAAACACCTTTTTTATTGATAAGAAATATGTTTTTTAATCATGTATTTTTTTGAACTTTAAGCATCTAAAAATTAAACAAAAATTAGAACACTACTTAATATATTCATTAAAAGATATTAAGTTAATAGGTTTTTAATAATAAATGATAAATTCAATAACAAGAAGTTTAAGAGAAAACAGAATTTCAAAAAAATCATCGGAAATAATTGACGGCACCCACAAAAACCTCACCGTGGAACTATCATTTCGCTTCATTCTTTTATAGCTGTAAGCTGTAAGGGTAGAAGGATAACTTAAGATGTGACTTCATTATAAAATTCATTACAGAATATATATTATAGTTTCCAGAGCATTTGGCATAAATATGCAGCATCTTAGAATTCAGCATAGTCTATATCCTTGGTTAGATGTCTCTGCACATTGTACTGTATCAATGATATGGCGAGAGAGAAGTGGTGCTAAGCAACTGCCTTGTCAGCAGTGATGTGATGCCTATAAGCAGTAATCAAACAAATATATTACTTCTGCTTGGTCAGGGAAGTTTGAGATTGAACATCGTAACAATTTTTTTCTTGTAAAAGATTTTTTTTAATTAGCATATGCTCCATTTTGTTGGGCATGTTCCTGTCGATAATTTTCAATCACGGTTACGAATACCATATAAATTGGCGAACAGTTATATACTCAATACAAACATTTAAATGCTCACCTGCATTTTGCTCCTGATAATCGTAGAGCAGATTATAAACGAAAGAGAATGTCAGTATTTCAGAAGACGAGTCATTTTTTTCCATTTTATTGTTGTAGTTCACAATAACAGTGAAAACAAGCTCTAGAACTCAGCATAAGCCTACGTATTTAAAAAAAGCTGCAAATGGTTGGTGTTAATATAAGGCATGCGATATTTAAGAGTTAAGTACAAATCTTTAATTTATCTTCATATTTATATTTATATTTATGTTTATGGTATGTAATTCTTAAGACATATCATGAAATTATAATGCAAATAAAATTGACCAGACTAACGACACTGTTACTCTGGAAAAATGTGAAAACTATAAAAAGTGTGAGGGTTAGGGAAATGTTTTCAGTGACAAATGAAGCACTTTAATTACAAACAAACTTATTTTTATAAAAACAATGGAAAACTATCATTTGTATGTGTTTTTACCAATAGTTGAGCAATGATTTGCTACAGTGTACACAATTATCCACTACATCTGTCATATCAATGACGAGTTGACAGCTATCTTGCGAAGAGAGGTTTTCAAATTGAGCAAAATTATTACCCATTTTACTTGCTCTATCTGACAAGCTCATTTCAGTTGTGTCTTTGTCATCTTTCGATGTTTCGTCAATTTCTGGATTTTGACCTGCAATCGTTTTTAGTACACCTTTTAAATCTATATTCAATACAATTATAATGGCAGTAAACTTACTTAATTCACCAGTTAAGCTCTTTGCAGAAAAATCATCGGATTTCAATGGAGCTCCTATATCATGCACGATGTTCATATTATTGTTTTTCAGTGATTCATACTCTTCTTTCGAATGTATATAAGGCACTGTGATTGGCAGATCTTTTGAATATCTCTCTGATATAATTGATTTTTTTTTGTCGTGACGTTTTTCATCATTGGAACAAATCCGTGGGTAACTCCTTTGAATTTCATTATTCGAACTAATATTATAATTTTGGTTATATTGACTGAAATTACCAGTGTTATAATCACGATGAGGATAACTCATTAACTGATGACTAACTGTGGATTGATTGTTATAACTGAAGTTATTATTGTTAATGTAGTTTCCATTATAATGGAATCTCTGATTTGAACTAGTGTTATAATTTCGAATATGTGGACGAATTGTCATAGTATTATAACCACGATTAAAGTGATTGTTTTGATAATCCTCTAGTTGGTTAAAATAACTGTGATAATTGTTGTTTCTATTATAACGAGGAGTTTGATATGGACGACTTCTATTATTCCGAGAATTTATTCGTTCTCTGTAATATTTTCCACAGAAGTTATGTTGCTGATATGGTCTCATTTTTAAATTTTGTGACAGAATCTAATAAATAAATATTTAATTAATTTTTATTTATAAACATTTATATTATAGCATTAATTCGTATCCAAAAATTTAATATGAAATCAGGTAAGTGCAGAAAGAATTTCACTTATATGTCTTTTTCTGTAACCTACTTGACACTTAACCCTTATTACTACACAACCGTTCTTCATCGAATATACTTTTATAAAAAAGAAAAACTAAAAATGTTGAAATTAAAAAAAATTATTCTGTAGATGTGGAAAAGTTGTGTTGATAGAGAACTTCTGCCAAAATTGGATTGAAAGATTTTGTTGTGGAGATTTTGATGTGAAAAATGAATCGAGTTCTGGCTAATAATCAGTTAAAGCTAATGAAAATCAAAAAAAACATTGATTGATGCAAGCATCCAAATATAAATTCATGAAATCGCTTAGAGATTAACCTAATCGCATTCGTATAATTTGTTTTATGGTATATATTATTACAGGAATAATATTGCAGTTTTCTCTATGACTAATTTCTCGAACGTCAAGAAAATGATAAATGTTTGACAAGAATCATGACTTTGAACGAGAAGGTGGTTCGAAGAATTGCATGAACCTTTCATTTGAAACATCAACATCAGGAAAAAATTTATTTGTAATAACCATAACTCCTTGGAGACGAAAACTAGGTCCCATAACACAACAGATATGTGGAAAAGGAAAGATTAACCGGTTGAATAAAAAATGATGCTGTCTGCATGGTGGGATTTCTAGCGGACAAAACTACGATTATATCTGCAGTATTCTGTCGGTATATCTACAAATTGAATTATTCATTCAAATTAATAGAGCTGGAATTGATTAAAACGAAATGTATGGGCTAATGCCAGATTTCAAACACAATTTGGTAACTCACCAAAAACAATCTTTATAAATTTAAAAACTTTTATTTCAACAAATTAAATTCCAAATTTACAAAATAAGCATAAAAACGAAAATTGTGTTGGCAAATACAGACAGCTTATACGTTCTTAACGAAAGTAAAAAATTGAAAGTGTGGTGTTGCCACAGTGTAAGTTTTGAGTACTTTTAAAAACTTATTTTCATTGTAAATATATTGTAAATATATTGTGAAAATATTGTAAGAGCGATTGTGAAGGAATTGTACCACAGCATTCTTACATTAGTGAAAATTACTTAAATGGATGTATTACGCTAAATTCAGAAGACTTGGATTGTCTTAAATTATCAATCCGCAATTAAATCTTCAGGTAAATCAATAAGGGCTCAAAATTGAAATTGCCAAAGCAAATAAAATTATTTTGATTGATAATAATTCAAAGAACAAGTGTCAAATCCACCACGCATACTCCAGCGCCATCTAGTATCAAGGACAAATCCTGTTGGCACAAAAACCAACTTATGTCTCCAAAATATAGGAAGAAGCATAGCATTGCGGTTTTGACAAGCATCATGACAACATAATATAATGTTGAATGTATAATATTAAATATCGTGTAAACGTATTTAATAATTTTAATATCAAATTCGAAGCATATTTTAGCTACGGAAAAAACTGATGTCGATACAGACAAAATAACATTTTTGTCGACATTCCTACAAACGGCAAATTCTTCTCAAAAATCAACATCCACAGAGCATACTACACATACCAATGTTAGCTGAAAACAAATGCAAAATCGCTGTGAGCACACCCATTGGTTTGTTCGGATTTATAGTAATGCCTTTCGGGTTAAATAATGCTCAGAAATTCGGCATTTTCGAGGAATTTTTAATTATCACCATAAGTGCATTCCGCAATCAGCTAAATTGCAAACTTCACTAAATGAACTTCCAAAAAGCTCAACAAAGAATGACAAAACTCCAATAACATAAAACCCTATGTTAGAGAGGGAGACGATTAGCAAGGATCAAAAAACAAACAAAGTGCTAAAACAATTATGAGGATCAAATTCAGCACTACAGTTGCAGAAACTTTCGTTACAACTTAACATGCCAGCATTTTATGACGTGTTCACAGGTATTATCAGACCGTATATTTCGTCATCATTGCGCAAGAATTGTTCGAAAAAGCATAGGTCATTATAACGAAAACAAATGTAGTACTTAAATGTTTCAAACAACAACTGTCACAACAACAAAGGGAAGAAAACTGTATAGGGCTGCAATAGAAACGGGATGCGAATTCATATCACCAGAAAAACTAACTTATTGACCGACCGATCCAAATAAATTGCTTGACCTTATAGATTTGTTTCTCACAAAAAAAATATCATCAAACTTCATGGAAATCAAGCTAGGCTTAAATCTGCACTCCGACCATTCGCCAATATATTTAACTTAAATTGATACGATCATAACGAAAAATCCCGGTCCATAACTAACTAATAAATCTACAGATTGGACCCTTTTTAAAGCATTGCTTAAAAACAGTGTAAACCTCTCAACTCCACTGAGCACTTGTGATGAACTTGAAAGACACTACGATCAGTTCATTAAGCAAATTCAAAAAGGAGCTTGGAACGGTATCCTTGAATATAAAAGAAAAACTGTAGGGAAGAACTATCCAAGGAAAATTATGAGTCTAATAAATGAAAAGAGGAAACTTAGAAAAAGATGGCATCAAACTCGATCTCCTCTAGATAAATGCATTCTTTATTAAGAAGTTACTAAACGTTTAAAAACTGAGCTTCGTCTTATCAAAAATGAGTCAGTAAAAAATTATATTTCATCACTTGGAGTTGACAAAAAATCGGAAAATCGACAAAATACTTAAAGAAACCCATTACCTTCACACCAACATTCAAATACAGCAATAGAAAATGGGCTAGAAGCAATGAGGAAAAACCGAAGCTTTCGCAAATAACCTGACAAACATATTTCAGCCTAATGATGTACAGTGTAATGAATTACTGATTGCCACAGAAAGTAGAAACCAGCAAATCGATCGAATAACAAAGCGCGAATTAAAATCAGCAATAAAAGATTTGAAAAATAAAAAGGCGCCTGGCTTTGACCTTATAACATTCGAAGTTTTAAAGCAGTTACCAGATAAAGCTGTTCGCAAATTGTTAATGCAATTCAATGCAGTAATAAATCTTAAATATATTTCGAGCCTATAGAAGATCACAGAGGTGAAAATGTTACTAAAAGTAGGCAAGCCGCTAGGATATCGTCATATAGACCAATTTCAATTTTACCAACCATTTCGAAGCTCTTTGAAAAGTTATTCTACAAGAGTAATGCCTATAATAAAATCCGGAAAGCTAATACCAAATTACCAATTTGGTTTTCATGGCAAGCATTGGACTATAGATCAAGTACACCGCATTATCGATGAAATTGAAAGGGCTGCTGAAGGTAAAAGTATGTTCTGTTGTATTCTTCGATGTCGCACAGGCTTTCGACAAAGTCTGGTACAAAGGTCTTCTGAATAAACTAGAAACATATTTGCCGTCGTCATGTTTTGCGATTGTGAAATCTTACATTACCACGAGGTTTTTTATGTGAAACATCAAAACTGTTACTCAAATCTATCCGCGATAAAAGCTGGTGTACCTCAGGCGAGTGTACTCGGTCCACTACTATACCTGCTTTACTCAGTGGACTTGCCAATAACAACTGAAAGTAAATTTGCAACATTTTCTGATGATTCTGTTAT